AAGGCCCTTACAGAGCGTAATTTCTACGTGGTAGCTTAGCCCAACTTCTTTTGTACCGTCCAGGGCGCTGGGGAGTGCCGTTGACTCATCGGCAAAAGAAGCCCTCCCAGCTAATTAGCCAAAATCTTCGTCTTGTCATCCTCACGAGAATACTCAACCTTAAACTCACCACACACCACCTTCACGACCGATAGAAGCGCTACTCCAACTGCAAACAGGAGCTTGGCTCATTTATTACCGATTATTATCGGCTATGAGATTACGACGCTACGTATACCAGCATGGAGGAGATTAAGTCGCAACGAACAAAGCTCGGGTCATGGTTTATGGGGGACTATTATTAAACTGAGGTCACAGATCTTGGATCTTGAGGAGGGAAAAGTGACTCAGGAGTGGAATGGGATATGGAAGAGACTTCTTGTCGGAATAATGGAACCGATATTTTCGAGCTATTCTCGACTTTGGAACGTTTGTGGGCACCGAGACCGAGATTACGGAAAATTAGCCCGGAGAACTTCTCTTGTCAATGATTCAACGTCAATCACCAGACCACTGAGCGCCACAAGTGAAGTTGGGCTAAACTACTATAAAGAAATCCTACTGTATCATGAATTTTCTCACATTTCAGCATAACCTTTGGGGAAAGATTTGAAGGAGGCTAGAAACATTGTGTGTGATGAGCGTGCAGCTGGTTGGCCTCTTCGAACACATCAGAAGGATCATTATGTCTCCAGGTCTAGTCCTGATTTCGGTACTAAGGGTACCCTGCACATAGTGGATTTTTCGATTTTTCCCGGCTGCCATACACCCGCAAATGGCCGGAGGACGAAGGCTGAACACCTTCTAATGGTGTCCCCTACGAACCTGGTAGTGAAATATTCTCCCAGAGCCTAGATTCAGTCACGACAAAGGGTGGATTTGAGAGATTCCGTCCAGTTGGCGATCGGGAGGAGTGGTGTTGGCTCATTTTTGGTCGAAAATCCGACTTGCAGAGATTTCACGGCTGCACAACTCAACGAAATCAACCATCTACACCCCAGATACGTGCCGCAGACAGCCTGTAACCTGTCTGATGTTCGTATCACAACAACCGACACCTTTAAGATCCTATTTTTTTTCTCTGAAAAATCACTCCTAGCCAAACTCATCTCGCGGCCCTCTCAACAATCATCTCACCACCTACCTAAGCAATCCCATACCTCCAAAAGCCAAATCGCCAACTAAGAAGCAAGAGGATTTCCGACCCTCCGCAACTGCCAGCCGCTGTGGAGGTACGGTCGAAATACCGGCCTTAAATGCGTCCTCACCTGGGCTAAGGGCACGAACAACTCGACCTACGACAAATCGCCACCGACGAAATACGTACGAAATTTCGCCGTTATACTAATTAGAGCGTTCGACAAAGGCTGGGGCACCGGTGCCTCGGTCTTGAGCTCTCAGTCGCGTTTTCGACCTCCACGGTTAGGGGTACGGCAGCGACGGGGCAAGGCCGGAGGGGTGGACGTTCCACAAAGTTTCTGGGATGACGAGATCGGCTGAAGGACAGCGGGATGCTGTATGTAGAAACTAAAAGGGGATACAAACTGAGGAGGTCTTGGTGGGCGACTAGGTGAGGCCTCCAGAGAAGAAAGCGACCCCTGGATGAGATGAAGAGATGCTGAGATGAGCCAAAGCTGCGAATGAATCGGAGGGAAAAGTTACAGGCGGCGAAGGTGTCAAGGGCTCGGGCGCGTGGTGGACGAGGCTGAGGAGAAATTTGCGCTTCGGCGCGCCAAAAGGGGGTTCTCTGGACGGTTGGGCTTGACATGATTCAACACATGGGTGAAGCCTGAGGTAGTCCGGTCATTCAGGTGGGACGAGGTAGATGTACTTGATGGTAGTTAACCTGATCCAGCCCGGCCCTACCCGTGCTTAAGGTCCAATATGAGTGCAACGGGAATCACTTTACCTAGCACGTAAATGAAAGAGACAAGATAAGACCCGCAAATGGCCATTGTGTCGTTGGCTGAAGAGGGGAGATAATGAGGTGCAAAGGGCTCCTCTAAGTGAATAATCGAATGAAGACATGTAGGATAATTATTGCTGGAACGATGTCTTAAAAGAAGCATGGATAATCCTGGCTCATATATAGAAAGTACAAACATGTCCTATATAGTCAAAGACGGAGATGGGAAAATAATTTTAAAAAGAATTATTGGACATGGAGACACAGGCTGTTGTGGACGTACGGGCCCTCCATTTCGTCTAGGTTCCCGACACGATCTCGTGTGTATTTAAGAGGTTGGAGTAAGTAATATGGTAGCGCTTCAGGCGACCTATTGGAGACATGAGCGGCTGTATGGCGTGGGCGCAAGGAGGTTATTGGGGGTTTTCTATGCCTAGATGGCGCCACACTCGTTTATGCTGTGGCTTAGGCTCTGTGTCGCTTACACTTGTACTTGTAGCGCACATCTCCCACACTTTTAGCTGTAATCCGAACATGACACTATTGTAGTTAACTTCTACTTCCGTTCCATGAATACTGCGCCCATTTTATTGCGCGATATTTCCAATAAGGATTCTAAAATAACTAGGTGTGGGGGTTGCCCATGACCCGCATGCCCAGGTACCTAGCTGCTCATCCTTTTCGATTTCAATAGCCAGGTCTACGTCTTTTCGAAGGGGTGGTAGATCAGTTTCATCATTTTTATCAGCTTCGAATATTGAAAATTGGTGGCGTAGCTGTTCCGGGAGTCTGGCTTTTATTTCTTGTCGAAAAAATTGTCTTTTAGGTGCCAGCATTTTGTTAATAACTATGACTGATGCTGCATACACCGATATAGTTTTCCTGCCTTCTTCAAGTCCCTACTGTTTCTCTGCTCTCCTTAAGAAAGCTGACATTGCTGTATGCCAAATCATTTCAATCTGAACTGTAGCAAAGGTCGAACTATGAGTGGGAATGATGTGCTCTTCTCTTTCTAGGAATAACACTCTATCTCGAGCTCCGTCAACGACGTCGTTGTACCTCATCCATAGCTCTCCGAGAATAATATCATGCGCTAGTCCAGGGTTTGTTGAAGCTTTTTCGTTTAGTGGTAGAGATGAAATAGAGGTTTACGGGTCACGATGAATGAGATAACTGGGATGTGGATGTTTGGGTTCCTTGCTATTTTGTTGTTCTAGTTAGGGTTATTCTTTCTCTATAAACAAAAGGGATTTCTCCATCTACAAATGGGCCAGATCCCTTAGGTCCGGCTAGCGGCTTTCGCCATCCTGTTCCTTCTCCCCCGCATGGCATCACGTGCTATACATCTACTGCTCACCATGAAGTCCGAGGATGAAAAGCGTTAGATAACAATGAGATTGAGGTAGAGGACTCGTGCGAAAATGATAGGTCCGACATTGACGAGAAGTCGTCGATTCTAGATGTGCCTGAAGTCGCTTTCGACTTCGATTTGCATGCGATTATTCATGGCTATCTTAGATATGCAGTGCATACTGAACGAATAGACCGGCAACACTGAAAGGTGAAGTATTTGTCTCTGATGGCATGAAGTGAGTGATATGAAGAACAAAATGTGGGACATGCCCATCACTCGAATGCCTTGACAAAAAGCTGCTCAACTTCTCTGCTCTCAGCCCGAACCAATACCTATCACCACTCGACCATTCAATTATGACAATGAAGGATTTTCGGCTCCTCCCTCATCCTCAAGCGATATCTCATGTTGATCCTTCATTCTGCTGATGTTTTAGGCCTGTAACTGAGTTGCACTATTCTCTAGCCATTGACACATACCTTGCCTCTCAACCATCGTGTCAGATATAACTCGCATTTCTCAATAATCCCCCCATACGCTGACTTTAGCAGCTTCGAGTGTGACAAGCGCTGAGATTGAGTCTTGTACCATACTTGGAATCACACTAGTCGGATTTAATTTTGTTCACTTAAGATTTGATTCATCCAGACAGTCTAGGAATAACCTATCTAGATGTAGAAATAAAAGAGAATCCTGACTGGAAAGAAAAAGAATCCCGGAAGACTTGGGAAATCATTGACATAGGTTCATGCCACGGTTTTAAATTATGGAAGTTTGCGAAATGAGTTGACGAGACCAGATGTAGGGGATGCTTCTTGCCCAGCTGTTAAGATTCTACTGCTGTCAATCCCTCTAGTTCCTCTGCCTCTTCAAGTCTGAAGCGGGACGGGTTGTCGCCGAATCAATTGGTGTTGGTATACAGCAGAGCAAGTCTAGAATAAATCAGTTGATTAATGAAATCTCGGGAGAGAAGATTTCCTACTTCTCGCTGTATACATAGGGACTTGTAATTATCAGTGCAGATTATAAAAATCTATATTGCTGGGCAACCACATCCGACCGCAATATTGGTAGCCCCCGTAGCTAGCTCAGCCCTATATTCCATGCCTGCCGTACTGGCGCAGAACGTATAAACCCAAAGGATGAATCCCGTAACACGGGTGGGCTCCATCCTTTAGGGCGTAGGCCGCTAGGATGGCACCAAATTTCTCTGCTCGAAATTACAAGACTCTTTCAACATCCAGATGGCTTTGGCTTGTGCTGGAATTCGGATATGAATCTGTCCATGATAGTAGCAAGGTCTAGCATTCATACTATCTCTCATGACATGTTCCAGTCTAGTTTCTTACATTTCACTTTGAACTGGAGCTTCAATATCACAACCTACGCCCCAAATAACTTGACACTTGATTAGGGATGCATAATCAAGAACTGATTGGGTGTAGTGTGATGAGCTCTTTTCAACAGGAATTAACCATCATGCCATGTGTTTAAGAAAGACTATTCCCTCTCACGTTCCATCGGCTGCTTGATAACCTCGCCATTGCTTACAATATTACTCGAGGAAAACTACTTCAGACTCACACAAAGTTCCCAATAGTCCTTTTCAAAAGCCAATTACTCGACGAGATCAAAAATATCGACAAATCTAGTCACTCCCTCAAAGGATAAGCACTATTTTTGATACACCACAGCTGCAACATGAAAATCTTCAGTCTCATCTCATTCGTGACTTTTCTAGGTCAGCTGATACCTGGAATCGAAGCCGATATTTCAAATTATCTGTGTGACCATGTTGTTCTTGATGCGAAGGACATAGAAGCTGGTGTTGATCGTGCATTCAGAACTAAAATGCAAGAAACTCTAGGAGCATACGCACCTGATGATTTTTATAACGAAGGATCCTACATAGTTAAATATAAGTCCCCAAGAGGTATGCAATCACATTCTAGAAAAACTTAATTTCCTACTAACACTTTTGTCCAGTAAATATGGATGTTACAATCAAAATAGGAATTACGTTTAGCGAGGATGTTCTTTATGTAAAAGCTGCAGGCGATGGCCAAGAAATTGACTGTCATCCAACAGATAAGCCGGCTACCACGAAAAGAATTGTCCCTTAATCTGGTTAGCGTGGATTCTAGAGACGCAAAATCAGATGATCCAAATGTAGCAACCATGAGTGAAATAGAATAAGATAAAATCCAAAAATGACTCAGAGCCGTTGACAGCTTACGAGCCGATTAGTTCTTTAGCCAGGAATGGCCATCAAAGGCATCTGTGTGTATCCCATCACTCTGGGAATTTTTAGTAGACTGGGATTTCCAACGACGCTACATAAAAGATAGAGCCAAGAGTATCAGAAGCATCACTCAGGTGCGGGAAGAGTCTTTGGGTGATCTCTTCACCACTGTAAACGTAGACTGGATTTACTTATCTCTGGAAGTTAATAAGTAGCACATTCAAGTAGTAGGCAGCTCGCTTCCCCAGAGATGAATCATTGTTTAACTTGGTATTTGAAACGGGTAACGTACACTTGCGCTTGACGGCTAACTGGATTTGTGATGGAGAGTGTAATATGAATGACTCTATGATTGGATTTGCATTCATTTCGTATCAGGCGTACGCCCTACACCCAATAGGCGTGATACGGGTCTATACTCCCTCGGGACACACTATAACCTAAATACATAGCTTGCCTGTCAATTCTAAACGCAAAACATAAATAATGAAGTCCAAGAAAATTAAGCGCCCTGCGTCTTTCCCCCTTCCTCACAACTATTTGTTCCGAAAAACTTCTATTTCGGCAGGACTCAATGCTCCCGGTGTGGTAACTGCCTCTCGTAACACTTAGTTACTCTTCATATCTGGAGGAATCTTTCCCAATCCTTTTCTGCCAGCATCTCCCGTCCTCTCGGTCGTGGTTCGTGCTTCAAGTTTCTCCATTGTGAATGACTCGATGATGATATTTTTATCGTGACCGGGGACTACTCCAGCACCCATAGGGCATGGCACGGGTAGTCTAGATCTAAATATAACTCTTCGCTACTTAGATCATTGTTTCGTAGAATCCTAGAAACACAAAACTAGACAAGTAAACCCACCACTTTTAAGTTGCGAGTGCCCTGAATTACACCTTAATCCTCGTACCACCCCGAACGGTCCCAAGAAGCATTACAGTTGACCTTTAAACCTCCTCTTCACGATTCAATCTAGCTCTAACAATTTGTTACAGTTAAAAAACGCCAGAATTTCTACCATCCTTCTTGCCCTATCATATCCCTGATCATAGGACGTAGTTCCTTCGTTTCCGTCCTCCATTTCTGGATAGTCAGACGACACTCTGCAAAATGCCGTGGCCGCTTTTCTCGGCCACATTTGCAAAGCATTTCTTCATTCCGGTGTTGGAAGTGTCTGTGATAGCTGGCGAAGTCACCATGCCCGGCCCTTGCTGCGATGAGACGGTAATATGCCCATCGAGGTAGAGCTAGCTCCGGAGGGCGTTTTTTCCGCATTATTAGGTCCAGATCTTCATACCTACTCCATCTGTTCTTAAGCCACCATTCTGTTACAGACTATAGCCACGTGGTCTGGATCCGGAATTTATCCGGTCCCTTGCCAAGCGCTAACGCATCTATGGTCAAGCGTTGTTATTGCTTATGAAAAGGGACGCCTTACGCGACGCGTAAATTTATATTCATGAACATCCGTGCGGGTATCCTTCTCTTTAGATAGAATTTAAATTCTGTTTTGGGCACACGTCAGCTAGAAGCTTATGTTCCGTCCTTTCACACATTCTTCCGCAAGTTTTTGTCCTCGGATGTTCATTTGGCGCTTGAGAGCTGCAAAGGTCAGAACTTCCTGAGTTTTCACCCAGATGCACTCTGGTCCCGGTATGTTTCTGTAAGGATTCTGGAGAAATGCCTCAGGCAGGATTTTCGGGTTCCTTCTTTAGCACCACTGGGCTTTTTTTTTCTTTAGATCACTTAATGTGCATCCAGCTATCTAGCTATGACACATGACACATGACCGGTACTATGTATACATGTTGGATGAATCTTTTGACGTTAGAGACACTCATGCTCTGGATTTCATTTGCAAATACCGCTATGAGGTATGCTTGCTTACACAAATAGTCGACTCTCCTCCATAAGTACCCACCAAAGGGACGTTTCAAAACCCTTGGTTATCCAAGCATGCCTTCGTCATCCATGTATACCAGATCCACGAGAAATATGGTTGTGTTTGCTGGATTTGAGCCAGCGATCTACTGTCTCGAGTTGGATATATGTCCTAGCTATTCAGATTCTACTTGGCCGATCGGCCAAGACGATGTACCGCCGCACCATGCAACCGTGGCCATGTTTATAGTGTCGCCTGCACTCTCGCTGCCGAAGGCTTGGCACGCACAAAGCTCAATTTGTAAAAATACCTTGCCAAAATTCCAAATTTCACGCTTGACAAGACTTTATCCATCCTCTGCATCATCTTATCAACTTGTCCTGATTCCTCTCACGTCCATCCCAAAGAACTGCCTTCCAGATTTGTGCGCCACGCTTTGCTTCCTCCGTCGGGTGTAAATATCGGCGTGGGCGTGTATTTGGTGACCGGCTGAGGCCAGAGAAAGTCGACGAGAGGTGTGGTCATTGGAATGAGAATGTACTAGGTCGTACTTGTAGACTTGATGAAGCTTAGTTGAGAATCGGACTCTTTGGGAGTGAAAGATTGACATGGTGAAGTAATTTGAAATTCTGCCTCGTGGGCCAACTTCTTTGATACTGTAAAATTTGACTGAACTTGGCTCTGGGAGAACATTTCACTCCTAGCTTCGTAGAGGACACCGCGTACAGGTGTTCAGTCTTGCCCTCCACCCATAGTGACCTACTGTCGCCTCCGGCCACTTGATCCAGAACGACTCCCCGCGTTCCCCTCTATCACCTTTCTAGAAAGCCCTCCGCGTCCCCACGAGGCGTTCATCCTCAGTACCTCGTACGCTACGCCATCCCTTACGCCTCAAGTCTTGCGCCTAGTGAACCTGTGGCTGACTGTTTCCATCCCGATTATTTGGCGCAAAGAATGCTTCTGTCATCGCATCGGCCTTTTCGTTCCCTGGAATGCCGCTATGTCCCGGAACGCAGTAGACCTATATGTTTTACTTGGTATATGAAATGGGGAACGTACACTTGCGTTTGACAGCTAAGATATGATCTTTTATTGAGAGTGGATTGTAGATGACTCTATGGATGTATATTCTAATTTACAGTGGGAAATACTCCCCTTTTATACCCCATGAACTCGCTTACCAGCGAATCATATGCCCATCATGCTTACTCATGCAGTGTGCCTTCCCTGAACAAATGCGCCAAACATGTCATGTGAGTTGTCCATGCCTGAGGTACCTTGATGACACACTCACCCTCCATGCGCTACCTGCCAGGGCTACCTTAGCTGAGCTCAACACTCTATCGCTAGTCCGGTCTTCCATAATTCCCAGAAATTCTTGACCTCTACTTGCGAGGAATTAATTCTGCCATTTTGAAGGGCTCTAACCGCCTCTTGATTTTCAAGGAGTACCTTAATATCTATGCTACCTCCAATTTCTAACGCTGCCTCTAAGCCTCGTACTGCCTCGGTGATTTCCGCATCAAAGACCTCGGCTCCAGGAAGAAAGTTTCCAACGCCCCTATATATGGCGTAATCATAGGATGAGTATGCTGGCACGGTTGATGACCCATCCGAGTAGACACAGAGTGTTCCTGGCGGAAGATTCCCGGGGCAAAACATGATCTGCTCCACCTTTTCCTCCTTATCGCATTTGGCCCTGGCAGTAGACATCGCGATTTTTGGTTAGTAAAGCTGCCCAGGCCCTTCTGATACAGACAGGCTGAGGTTCCCATTATTTAGGCGTGTTAGGTATCGCTCTGTGTTGTAATTGTGCATCACGTGCAAGTGTCTTAGCGTGCAGGCATTCTTTCATTACTGCGTCCAGTCTCATTGTAATATAGTCAATTATAACTCTTTGTAATTCACAACATTAGATACGTTCCTCTTCCTCAAGATCCATCTCTTTATAATAGGTTATAGCCCGGATTTAGCGCAGCGCTTATCATCAGTTCATTATCAAACATCGGATCCATAGGAAAATAAACAGATAACTTCTAAACAGGAACTAAATTAACTACAATGTCAAGCACCAAGGAAGATAAGTGAGCTATCATACTTAAATCTGGTGTTCCATTCACCACATGGTCTTCCGATCTCCGGAGTTCTCTTGCACAGGATGGATTAGTTGGTTACATCTTTCACAACGTCCCTGAAATCCGACCTAGGACTGTTCCAGTCGCACCGATCACACTGGGAGATGATAAGGATACTGAAAAATATGACAAGTATCTGGATGAGCTCGAAGCATGGAAAATGAAGGACTTGCATGCTTATGGAAAAGTCTTACAAAGGCTTGACCACAGTCTTAGACCAGATTCAGTGAATAATCTCACAGCACTTCAACTCTACACAATGGTTGCAAACACACACAAGCTATCAGCAGCAATTCCCTATAGAACTTGTTACAAGAAACTAATAGATACAAAGTTTACTACAAACGCTACCAACTATTGTAATGAATTCCAGAAGAATCTTACAAATTTTCGCATCGCTGCAGTAAACTTGGAGTCAACAGTTAATAGATCTATAGAATACGGTATCTCTGATGGATTTGCCGCAGTAATGTTCTTCGAAGGAACATCACACATTTAGTGGCTTGAAACTTGGAGAGCAACAGGGGCAATTGATCGAGACCAACATGCTTACGCTTCTCTAGAACAGATGATGGCTATGTTGTAATTAAGGCAAGAACATGACTGCAGTAGACAAATAGTACAGATTAGAATAATTTGCACTGGCGCCATGAGATATGATTAACCCATATCATCACTCACTGGCATGAATAGTAATTAGCCAATAGATGCCTGACAGCATACATTGGCTTCAGGATCTCCAACAACCTTCCCGTTTAGGTTAGATTAGGAAGTATGTTGGAGTTCACACTAGTGTGCGGAAAACCCCGCTTTCATGTATATAGAGGGACTTCTCGCCACACATATAGAATACAGCAATTTCTTTA